GGGTGAAATTGGCCTTTTGGTGGGGGTCACCAGCAGGATGGGTGGGGTGGAGGGGGTCAGTTGCAGGGTGGTGGATGGAAACTAGACTTGGGGGGATCATCGTGTAGCAGACACAGATGTTGAGCTATAATGCTGTGCCCCTGAAATCTGGATAGAGTTGGGATTGAATGTTACTTTAATAGAAAAGTAATAAGCCCTTAGGTAAGAAGTCAAGCGTCTGGGACCGACTGCTGCACAGCTTTGAGGCCCCTTGAAAAGCTGTGATTAGAACCCTGAGTGCTGGTTTCTGACAGACTCCCCAAGTCTCCTACATCCTGAATGCTGGGGTGCTGGGTATTTCTCCCCTCGGCCTTTGCTCTTGTCCCCCGTCCAGCAGCTTCTGTCTCTCTAGCGATACACCTGCTCTCCCACGGCCGTGGCGCATGGCGAGAGGGTCTCACTCGCCTGTGACCTCATTAGTCTGGCCCCCTTGGGTCTCCTGAGTCCCAGATGCTGGAGTCCTTGGGGTGACCCCGCTGAGAGACAACACGGCCTGCTTCTCCTTTGTCCTCACTTACGTGACTTTCTTCTCCACCCGTGTTCTCACCTGTGGGCAGAGTGACGGCTGCCCTTGTACAACAAGTGGCTAAAATGCCTCTTACCTGTGTCCACGGCAGGAGCGACCGGACACGCCACATTCTGCTCTGTTCTGTGGCGGGAGTGGACGGGCGAGATCCGTGTAGAAATGCAGAGGGTGAGACTCTGACAGAAAAGACCGCCCGCTCATTTGCGACGACAGTGGTTTCCTGACCTCAACACGTGCCCGGGAAGGGAGGGCCCTGGGAATTTATTTCTAGAGCATGAGCATCACCTCAAACACGTGTTCCCTGCGGTGCCCCACTTGTCTGTCCTGGCTGTCTGGGGGCGGCGAGCACAAAGTCTGATCCTGGGGTCCAGTCCCCTGGCTGCCGTGGGGTGTTCGGAAAGCACTGGAGCCCCCTGAGAGAGCGAGCTGATCATCCCCCGGGCCCAGATTCAGACTGCTGCCTTCTCTTCGTCGACACAGGAGGCTTTTCCTGAACCGTGGGGACCACAAATGAAAAGTGAATTTGTGCCCAGACTCTTACTGTCTCGTTCTTTTGCTGTGAGGGAAAAGAACTGCTAGGAAAGGATTCATCAGTTTCAGGAGCCCTGACAGCTTTTGCTGGACACGTCGGCATGTGTAGAAAGGGCCTTTCGGTGTTGGAGCGGCTCTTTCTGTTCTGGTTTTTCATCTCAGCATTTTTTCCTTCTTGTACTCAAAACCAGTTACTTGGAAACAGAAGCCAGGTTGGGTCTTCAGTGCCAGGCCGCGTGTCCCCACTTTCTGGGCCTCTCGGCCAGTTGTCACCCGGGCCCAGACCGCAGGCGGGTGCTGGATGTTGCTGGCGTGTCAGTATTTGACATGAAAGCGCCTCTGTCACTAACACAGCGGCACCTTTTGTGTGGGGCAATTTGCATAGAATTTATGTATTTCTCATCGTTTCGTAAAAAGTGGCTTTGGTCGTTTGCAATTTGACACACTGGAATACCCCAGCTTTCCTGGAGCTGCAGACAAAAATGCTGTCCCCCCGACCCCTGAAACTAGCATTCAACAATCCAAAGATCAGGTCTTTTTACAGTGACCCAGGAGCAAGCATATTAACTCATGACGCCACATTGCCGTCTGTTTTGACTTTCTGGAATTCCCTGTTCCAAAGTCACCCGAGCATTTCCAGAGCCTGGCAGCTTGCTGAGGACTGGAGGGGGAGACCAGGCGGCAGGGAAGGGGGGCAGCCTCCCCGGAGGGCAGAATAAGCCCCTTGAGAGCCGGAGTGCTGGTCCCCTGCGGCCCTGGGACCCGCGGTGTTCAGAGCCCATTCTGGTCTTAATCCTGTGGGGCTGGATGGGCTTGTCCCTTTGAAGTCCGGGTCTGCAGGCGGGAGAACCTGAGGCTTCAGCTTTGTCATTCTTACTCTCACCGGGGTGACACGCACCCTGCACGGGAGGTAGCGCTTCAGCTGGAGGGGCAGAGAGGCTCTGTTTCCTGAAGAACAGCAAGGCTTGAGTATCGCGCTTGCTGACGGAGGTTTCTGATAACACCCCTGAGCTACTTTTCACACCCCAGCGTTAAAAGGTGCTGCTGGGCGCCTGGTGCCTGCGATCGCCTGTGTGTTTTCTTGGCCAACTCCTACTAAGCTCTCGTGTCTGGTGGTCTTGGTCTAGCAGGAGTGTCCTGGGGGAAAGGCTTTTGACTGCTCTATCTTTCCAGAATGTGGACTGTGTTTCACCCCTTTTGAAATGTTTATCCTCCAACTTCCCTATTTTAGACTGTTTCTCCTCTCGTGAACAAAAGCTCCGTTTGATGTTCTGAGTCCTGCCACCCCTGTCATTTCATGCAATATTAACTCGGAGGAGGATTTTCAGATAGGAAGAGAACACGTGTGCCTCCCTTATCTCCTGGCTTTTGTGGGCCTTTCTTTTTCTAAATTGATCTCAATTAACTTTGATTTCTGTCTTTAGCAAACCATGTGCTGAAAGAATGCTTTGCCAGATGTGCAAACAGACTCCTACCCGCCCCCGCCCCACCCAGCGGGGAAGCCTGTTTCAGTTCGAACATTTTAAAAATCTTAGACTACATGTATCTGCTCGTTGCATGTGTTTGCAAGAACAGCTGGTTTACCCGGGAGCTACACTAATATTTTCACACTCTTGCTCTTTCTGTTGTGAAAACCATTTTCTTTTTTGCTTGTAATTTAAACCATTGCCTGTCCTTTCTGTGTAACCTGTTTCTGCCCATTTCTGATATAAATCACCCGTTTGCTCATGATTCTCTTCATTGGGGGCCAAAGTGGGCATCAGACAGTGGTCGTTCCCCACCCAGAGGGGTCGCGTCTGCAGGACCTGGCGTGAGGAGAGGGAGGCAGTTTTGCTTTGTGTTCTGAGTGTGCAAAGCCGCAAGCTCCATGCAACTTGGGGAGGGAGGCCCCGCTTTGCAACTGTTAAGACACCGTCAGTTTTGTCTTTATTTGTCATTCTGCTGCGTCTGTGGTGCTGGCTTTCCTTTACACCCATGCGTTTGAGTTTGGATTCTGAAGGTGCTTACTTACCTTCAGAGAGAAAGTATTACAACCTGAGCCCCTCCTCCCCCACATTCAGTCACCCCCATTGCTGCCGCCTCACGTGGCTTCTGTCCGTCGCTATGTGGGTTTCGTGGGGTCTTCAAGATGCCCTTGTGCCTTTTCTCCTTTACCCGACACAGCCCATCCTTCTGTCTGTTCTGTGCTATTGTTTGAACTCCAGGCTTCCTTTTCCCCCGAAGGGCCAGGGCTGCGCTCTGAGGGATTTTACAGGCTCCAGCACTGCAGGGCGCCATACGCAATAATATCGTGCTGCATCTTTGAAAGTTGTCAAGAGAGTAAATCTTGAGTGTCCTCATTACACACACACAGAGGAGGGAAACAGAGGTGTGGCCTCCTGTGGAGACCAGCAGAGCTACGGTACCGGGATGACCGTGGTGACCGCCCGGTGCCCACAAACGCACACCATGATGCTGTAAACTGGGCACGAGCAGGATGTTAAATGCCCGTTTCACACCAACATTCTTTTAATGAAGTGGGGCGAGGGCTGGTACGTGTGCACTGATACCGCTCGTGCTCCACGCTGAGGCAGAGCTTAGTTCCCTGTGATTTTCCTGACTGGCTGACGCACAGCTCAGCGCACCAGGCAGAGAGGCTTCCTTGCTTGGGAAGTGATGAGGAAACTTGCGGGGGCTGTGGTTAGAGTGGGGGAGTACACGTTGAGTGGGGTGGGGTGCTTGGTGAAATTGCTGGTGCTCCCCGAGGATGCTGATGGGTGGGGAGGGACTCTCTAGCGTGGAAAACTTGCTCTGGGCGACTCTGCTATGAATGGGAAGGCGCGTCCTTATTTACCGAGAGATGGACTCCACGAGTGGAGGGGCAGCTGATCTGCACATCCCAACCAAATAACCTCAGCTTTACTCACTGGAGGCGAGAAGTTTGGGCTCCGGGTTTACAGGGGACCCTCCTGGCTCCAAGTTTCCATTCTTAAAACTTTCATGGTTCACCCAGCATTTGCATCTCACCTGTTGCCTGCGGCGCCGGGGACACGCGAGGCCTGACAGAGACAGCAGCCATCCTCACATGGATGCTTTCTTCTGAACTAGAGCCCAAACCGGATGGTCTGCAGTGGCTCTGTCTTGGCTGCTGTCATTCAAATCCTGGGTTTCCAAGTCCCAGGTGCCTTTGCGGACTTTAAGCCAAAGAGGGCACGAAGGGCACATCTCCTTGTCTGCTCACCAGGCCACGCAGAAGAGCAGAGATACTCGTAGACTGTCAGGAGAAAAGGGAGGTAGTCTGTGATCTGGGCAGTCACCCTCCTGGTACTGGGCGGCATCTGGAGTGTGCTCAGTTTTCTTTCTTCTTTTTTGGTATCAGCCAGATGTTCGCTCATGTGGAGACGCCCCTGGGAACTCTGTTTCGCTGATAACTTAGAAGCGGGGGCCTCACCGCTCCGCCTCTTTGGGTGCTGCGCTTACCCTCCTCTTACTCCAAGCCCCAGGACGTGCCGCGCTCCAGATCCCGAGGTGTCAGCCTGACGTGCCTTTGTTTAATCTTTATGGCCGCTCTGTCCCCTGCCTGCCTGAGTTATAGATTGCGTTTGTCCAATCATGACACGTGCAGTTGGGTGTCTTCTAAGACCTTTGAAATTCAACTTCCTTGAGTTGAGATGAAAGTGGGGTTTAGCGGCGCAGCTGCCGTCAGCCTGCGATGATCTGAGGCCCGCAGGCTCGCCCCTCAAGGCTGCCCGGTCCAACTCTTGTGGTCTGGAGGGAAGACCTCAGTTCTGTTTTCCTCCTGAAAGGTGGAGATTGGGGCTGGAGGGTGGCCTGACATGCGGGTCCCACCGCGCAGGCCTCGGTGCCGGCGCTGTCTGAACACATGAGTCTGGAGCAGGCCCTGACTCTGTCTCTTTGGTGCCAGGAGGCGCTGTCGGTGGTGAGCGAGGACCAGTCGCTGTTCGAGTGTGCCTACGGCGCGCCGCACCTGCCCAAGGACATGACCGCGTCCTCCTCCGGCGACTATGGGCAGCCCTCCAAGATGAGCCCCCGCGTCCCGCAGCAGGACTGGCTGTCTCCACCCCCTGCCAGGGTCACCATCAAGATGGAGTGTACCCCCAGCCAGGTGAACGGCTCGAGGTAAGGAGACCTGCCTCTTGTTCCCTGCACCCACTTTCCTGTCCCTTGACGAGGGCACGTGCACATCAGTCCTGCTTCCCCAAAGACTGTCTCAGAAAGCACGGCCGCGGGTCAGACCCCCGGGCCACGCTGAGAAAATGTGCACCCCAGGAGGGTGCGCTGGGGCTCAGGGCTGTAAAACGGGTTGTCTGTCGACCAAGAATTCTCTTTGAAGAGGCGGTGCTGCTGGGTTCCAGGCACGAGGCGTGGGGGAGGGCCTCGTCCTCATGGCAGGACTCGTCTGGAGGGTTTATGGTCTGGAGAACAGCGCCGTCTTCCTCCTGACGGTGGGACGGCATCAGCTCGCGGCCGGGGAGCGTTTGACTTTGCCAACCTGGACGCGTCCCAGACCCCCCTCCGCCCCGCTGTCTGCCTGTCCCGGGGCACAGGTTGTTTCTCTTTTTATTTTTTTTTTATTTTTATTTTTTAAAGATTTATTTATTTATACAAGCACTGGGTACAGCCAGCAGCGCGGGAGGGTGAGAGAATTCACCAGAGCCAGAGCGGGGAGCAGAGCAGGCAGAAGGACCGAAGGACACTGCTGAGGGGAGCAGCGGGCGGCAGGAGAGGTCTGCGCGCCATGCAGGACCCTCCTCTGGTGGCCGGGGAGCAGCCGGGGATCGAACCGGTGCTGCAGAGGCCGTGGGCAGCTTCGCAACCCAGCGCTCAACTGCTGCGCCACCGGGGAGGCCCCTGTTTCTCTTTTTAAAGCCCAGAACTGTGACCCTCCCTGAGTTGTCCTGTCCCGCTGCTGTCACCCAGAACATGTCTCAAACGTGGAGGGAGTGCTGGCGCTCCAAGGCATTCCACAGGAAGCCGTTTGGAAAAGTAGTCGATTTCAGCCATGCTCTCATACCCCCGGTGTATTCCAGGAAAGGAATATAAAATCTCAGGGCAAAGAAAGGAGCGTTGCTTTTAAATGGAGTGAACTCTGACGCGGTGGCGAGAACCGCTCGTGTTTTCTGGCCTGTGCTGTGTACAGAGCCCTCTGGCGTGCGGCCACTCACGGACCCTCTGGGCAGCTCCATGATGGACGAGGGCCCATTGCCCGGGCATCTCTGCCAACCCAGGACCCCCACGCGAGGGAGGCAGCGTCTGGAGCCAGCCCAGGGTGTTTGCCCCACACCCCCTGCATTTTCCGCCGGCTGCAGCTATAATGGGCCCTTTTTGCTACATATATATTTTAATGCTAATTACGGTTTTCATAAGTGTCATGTTTTATAAGCGCTGGAAACCATTGCGTCAACTTCCAGCGTGGCGTTGACAGAGGCACAAGTCACAGAGCCTTTGAGGGGATGTTAGCAGGAGCCGGGCCTGCCCGATGGGGAGAGGGAGAGGCCAGAGCGTCCCTTGACTCTGAGAGCTCGGGTCACATCTGTGCATCTAGTTTCTTCCTATAAAATGGGGATGAAGATGCTGATGTTCAATATTGCTGCAGCCTGGTCCTTGATGTGCAGCCCGGGCCGAGCCGGGGCCACCTTCCCGTTCCTGGACTCTGGCAGAGCTTGGGGCCAGGGGCCTGAGTCCCGTCGGCCAAATCCCGACAGCACATGTTTTGCGGGTCCCTGTAAAACCCACCACCTTACAGCGTGTCCACCGGGGATCTAGCTGAGACTTCGGAGTCCATGCAAGCACGTTCCGAAGGATGCAGCCTGCTTGCATACAAGAATGGTGGGCAGAGCCAACCTGGGAACCTGGAGTGGACCCTACTTTTGCTGGAGCCCTGTGGGTGGGGGCAGCCCGGGAGAGGCTCGGTGTGGACGTGAGGAGCAAGAGGCTTTTCCGACTCTTCTCTGAAGGCTGGTTTCTACCTGCAGGGGAGGCATCAGCAGGAGTGTGGGGAGAGCGAGAGAGAAATTGCATGAGAGAGGTGGTGTGTGTAGGAGAGAGAGAGAGTGTGAGGTTTCTGAGACTCACATTTACAGCCAGCCAGACGGCCGGAAAGGAGCATGCACATAAGCACACACGAACACACATGAATACATGGACACATGCACACACATGCACAAACACTCGCACATGTGCACACGAGCACACATACACACACACACACACACACACACACACACTTGAGTGAACACTGGCACACACGCACGCACACACTCCCCATCGGCAGGCAGGCAGCCGCTTTGCTCTCTCTGCGCATCCTTGTCTCTGAGGTTCAGCCAACGCCCCGGGGGTTGCAGGGACGTCACCCCGTCCTTCCAAGGGGATGGAAAGTCTTCCTAGCCCTCCTGCAGGCAGGCACTTCCCCCTCACCTCTCCCCGCCCATAGCTGGGACTTCATGGATGCCTGTGTCAGGCCCAGAGTCTCCCCGGGGCCTCCCCCACCCCCGAGTCCTTTACGGCAGTTGGACGCTATGACTGTGGCTCCCGGGGGTGGCTGTTCCCAGAGGGCCCCAGGATCCGCCGTGTCAGCTCCACTGGGGAGCTTGTTAGAGATGAGATCCCCAGGGTGACTTGGGTGTTGGCAGGACACGGTGTCAGCCCGCCCTTGGGGACCCCAGTGGAGCTGGGAACCCCCTCTCTGAGGCAGACGTGGGGAGAGGGTGGTAAGAATCCCTGGTAGCTGGGGAAGGTGGGCTGTGAGGTACAGTCTGAGAAGAGGTGAGGAGGAGGCTCAGCTCCTGGGGGGTCAGTCTGTCTGAGCAGAGGGCACCCACCTCACACCACTCGGTGTCTGTCTGCCTGTCTGTTATCTGGGCTTCGCCTCTCTGCTTCATCTGGGAAGCAGATCACTCAGGTGGCGTGAATATTTCCAGCCTGGAGTCAAGTGGCAGAATGCTTTTGACATATTTATCTTTATTTGCTCATGCATGTGTACTGTACGTCGGGCAGGTTTTGCTGCTTTACTGTTTGTTTCCCAGGCTGCATGCTTTCAGGACGATGGGGCCACCCCACATGCTTCCCTGGCCCCCCAGGCCCCCACCTGTCACACCGACCCCTTTGCCTGCCCCCCTCTCCTCCTTCCCTTCCCCTCTGGAAACCACCGTATTTTCACAGCCTACAGTTATTTCTGTTGTGTTTTCTTAGTTCATCTGCTTTGTTTATTTATACTCCACAAATGAGTGAAACCATCTGGTATTTGTCTTCGCCTTCTGACTTATTTCACTGAGCATCTTCCCCTCAAGGTCTGCCCACGTTGTTGCAAAGCAAGGTTCGTCTTTTACATAGCTGAGTAGTACTCCACGGAGTAGAGTTTCGCGATTTCTTTATCCATATGTCTGTCCGTGGGCGCTCAGGCTGGTTCCGTTGGCTGCTGCGGACAATGCGGCAGTGAACACAGGCGGGCGTACCTCTCTTTGTATCGGTGTTGCATAGCCTTCCTCTCTGTGCTTAGGAGGGGTGTTGCTGGATCATACGGCATTTCGAAGTTTTGTTTCTTGTAGACTCTCTAGCCACTTTCCTAGAGGCTGGATTTATATCCCCACTCACAGAGCACGAGCGCCCCTTTTTCTCCACGCTCTCGCCAGCACCTGCTGTTTCCAGTCTTTGTGATGTGGGCCCATCTCCCGTCTCCTGGCTGTGAGGTGCTAACTCATTGTGGGTTTGATGTGCATTTTCCTAATATTTACAAACATGCCACCCAGAGGGTGATGAAGGTGCCAGAAAGTGGGGTTGGCGGGTCCATTTGGTGTCAGACATGCTGGTTATTTGCGCATTCATCCAGCCAACAAGTATTTATTGAACAACTACTACATGCCATCGCTGTTCTAAATACTTGATGTGCAGTCATTAAACATAACAAAAAACCTGCTTGCAGTGTTTGCTCCTGGTGGGGGAGATGGTCATTCAACTAGGTAACCGGTTAACATAGGAGATCATGGTAAATGCGAAGGGGAAATAAAGCAGGCAGGAAAGGAAGTGGCACTTCTCCATGGAGGGTGGGCTGAGAACATCACTGATGAAATAACATTTGAGTGAAGACCCAAAGGCCTGAGGGAGAAGGCCCCACGGTTGAGCAGCAGAAGGGGATGGCAAGTGCAGACGTCCTGAGTCAGCCTGAAGTCTTGGAAGACAACTTTTTGTGGCTGACTTTCAGGGGAAAAAGAAATGAGATCGTGAGCGATCGTGGGGCCATTGAGGGAACTTGACATCCACTCATCAGGACGGGGAAACCTCTGGGCACGTACCAGCCAAGGAGGACCTTGAAGGTACTCAGATTTAGCAGGACCTGCCTGGCTCCTGCATTGACGCTGAGACCCACGCGGCAACCCCTGAAGGGTTGGGGTCTGGGATGGCGGGACCTCCGTGAGGTTGGTAGTGTCGGGGGTGGGCGGGTGATGCCATTCTGGGCTGATGCGCTCTGCTGCTGGCCTGGACTCCTGCCATCAGAGCACAGTCTCCTCTATGCCCTGGTCCTAGTACGTGCCAGATGCCATGCACGACACTCTTGCCTCCTTGCTGGAGTTCAGTGGGTCTTAATCCATGAGACCAGCAGTTCTCTACTACAATGGTTTGTCCCCAGGGGACATGTGGCAGTGTTCACGGACATTTTAATTGTCACATTGTGGGGGAGGGTCCTGGCATCTTGTGGGTGAATGTCAGGGGTTCTGCTCAATAGAACATAGTACCCCTCCCCACCGCCACTCCCCCCACCCCAAGACTGTCAATCATGTGCAAGTTGAGAAGCTGAGAAATCCTGTGTTAAGCACACAGGATGTCTGACTTGCATCCGGCAGAGTTAGCTGCTGTGAAGATGGATTAAGAGAAGCTCATGGTCCAGCAAAGGTGAGAAAGGATCTGTGAGGCGGCATGACAAGTGAAGAGCAGAGGGATGTCAGGACCCAGCGGGTGAGGGTTCGACTGTCCACCTGCAGGACAGACAGGCTCTGAGCGAGGTGCTGTTCACCCACGTTGCTCAGGGTGGTCTGCTGATAGATTTTAAGATAGAACCTATGATCCAGCCCCTCACGACATCTGTGGTTATTATGCAGTCTTAGGGTCCTGCCCATTTTACC